ACACACACATATACACACACACACACACACTTATGCCAGAGGGAATGGAGGGTTGTTAGCAGTTTACAACATCTGACAGTGAATAAGGACTACAATAAAGCATTAGTGATCGGAGCAATCATGATCTGATCACGATTCCTGAACTACAACATATAAAAACTAAGAAGTTGAACAATTAATATTTTCTGTACTGTCCCCACTTTTTTTCTAGTATTTGAGTGGATGGAATTCTGAATTTTAAACTGTGGGCATAAATGCTGTCTTTGGTAATTACAACGACTGAAGTCATATGCAATACCTGTAGACACAAATGAGCACATATAGAAATTTCCATCAGCAAAGAAGGAAAACAAAAAGAGAAAATGAGTCCACAGCTACTTGAATCCACTAAGTTTACCGTGACATCAGCAGCTTATTGAATACTATCTGAACTTGTACGAAGCTCAGGCAAGGGAAACACTGTAAACTATTAATTATATCACTTAACTACTTAAGGCTTTTTAAACAGCTAATTATTAATCAGCTAATTAGGTGAACCTTAACTTTCTTGACTATTTCCCTAGGTTAATTTCTCCTAATTGGACTAATTTTCATATCACTCTCCAACTTGACAGTGACAGCTGAGCATCAAATAGGCAGGTGAGTATCTTTACTAAAGGTAGTTCATGCATTCCTAATCAGATTTTCAGTTTCACAATTTCTAAAAAGCCAGTAAGTCACGAAAAATTTCTGATCACAAATTTGACATTATGTACATCTAGCACCAACATTCACTCAGATAAGCCAATTATGTCTTGCAGAATTTACACCATAAAACTGAAAATCATTACGGTGCAAATTCAAAACCAAGTAAACAAAGAAATAAAGAAAACTCACCATGATACGCAGCTTCCTTAAGCCCATGTGATTTCTGAATTTCATACTAACAAAAGCTATGCTAACTTGTGTTAGCATAGTAACTTAACAGTTCCTGAAGTAAAACTTTCTGGCCTTCTCAACCACCATTCTTATTCACAGCTGATTGCCTAATTCTGAAAGACAGGGATTTCTTTACCATGAGTACTGGCTTACAGAGAAATCATCTGCTTTCTAAAAAAATCAGACCTGCCTTAAGCAGTATGTCCCTTGTCCTCTCCTTGGTTTACTTAGAAAGGATGGAATGTCCGTTACTTGGGACTTCACGGTTGTTGTTTTTTCAAATGCAGATTTGCATTTCTAGATAGATCGGTGCTCCATTGATTAGATAATTGTATTTCAATCCAGAGCTATTGCAACATTCAAGACATTTCAAAACAGAAAACCTGAGAAACTTGCTGAAAAAATACATTTTTTCCAAAATTAACTTATCTGGAGAAAAAGAAATGTAAAATTCTCCTAAAGATCTTCTTTGCAGATAATTTCAGTACAGTAATAAGAACAGTGATAGGAACAAACACAAGGCAAAAGCAGAAGAGTATGAAGTGATCAAGCAATCTTACTGTATTACAAACATATATGCAATTGTGGCCCAGTTTCACATTTATACCTGATGAACAAGTAAATCGAGGCAAACAAAGTAATCCTACAGCTGTAATACCTGAAGGCAAAAAAAGAACAGCTGGAGAAGCAAAAATCTGGTCCTCTCTGTTCCACTGGTCCAGCAACCTAGATTTAAAGTTCCTGATCAATAGATACACACTACCCTCTTTGTAAAATCATGACAGTAATTTTCAAGTTCAAGTGAACACATTCATTCAGGTTAATTTTTTTTTAGTGAAACACTTTAAAAAAAAAAAAGATCAGGAAGATTAATTCCTTCTTAAGAACAGTTCCACCTTATAGACTATTTTCTGCCTCAGTTTAGTTTTGTACATACCAGCATTCGGTCCCCTGCCAATCTTCTACTCTGCTGTAACTCTTCTTTGACACCAGTTAAATCTACTACAGCAGATACTGTACTCCAAGTATGTAATTGGTCCATTTGTGATTTCTCCAAAATATACAGTGGGGCCACCTTATTTTTTTTTTCTTTAAGTGCTGCTCATTTCACAAAACAATAATGTAATTTTCACCTTGAACTTTACGAGAGCTAAGCCACATAAAATGTATCAGATGAGCTTTGCCTTGGCTTAAAATTTGAGTTTCACAGTACAACGAGAGTGGCACTTTCTCCTACTGGACGTTCATCAAGCCTCTTCAGCTTTCGTTTTTGCTCTTCAGTTTGAGCCACAATGAAACATTTGATTAACGAGAATACACACACGTGCATTAAAAATACAGGAGGTGCTTCATAGCAAAGTTACAAGGGCTAGAAGAGACTGACAAATAACTAAACTCAGTATTAAAGACCGATGCCTAATTATGAGGCAAAAGCACTTAATATTCACATATCTTTAAAGATAAGTGAATTGTCATAACCTAAATAAAAAGGGGAGACTAGTACAACACAAACAGAAAAGCCTACAGCATTGTGCTATTTACAGTTTATTAGGAAGCTGTCAACACTAACAGCAATCCAAGAATCAGGGTAGTTATCACTTTTGAGAAAGAAGCTTCGAGACACTCTTAAGAAGTCAGTCATCCCCAGGGATCTTATAAGAATCTTTCCTCACAGGTCCACAAAAAACAAACAGAAACCAGCTACTTCATCAAATCCTAGGCTGATAAAATGCTATGTTGGTTGTTGATCAAAAAACACCCCAAAACCAACCAAACAAGAAGAAAAAACACCAAAAAACCCCACCCTCAAAGAAGGATGAATTTTGAGTCCTATGAACATAATCTGTCATGCACCAAACCAGCTTGTTAACAAGAGTAAGTAGCAAGCATTTTTTTTTCTAATTCAGAATTCTAATATGGATATGAGTTTGTCACATTATATTCATGTATCACTTATGAATATGGGCATATAAAATAAATTCAGCCAACACATGATTGACCATAACTGACACTCTTAGAATGGCAGAAAGATAACCTTGAGGCAAAGGATGTCCTATTTTCTTTGTTTGCTGCCAACCTCCTAGCACTGAGAATCATAAACACAATTAGCACTAAGTCAAATGACGGAAATGCACAATAAATCTATACTGTCTAAAGAAATTTATTTCAACATCACCACCTAAGAGAAGGGAAGTTTCTAGCACTAAAAAAAACCCAACCCACCATAATTTTAAATCATCAGCAAAGTTTTAGCACCGAGATTAATCTTCTATTGGTAGTGCTAGACTTCTGTGATAGTTACTAAGCATTGTTGTTCTCCTCAAGTCTCCTAAAGAATAAAACTCCTCATATTTAATATAAGCTTTTAATTCCTGTATTTCTCATAAAAGACTCAACACAACCCTTATTTATAGACTGCAGAGAAATCAAGTTTTATTTTCTAAGTGCTATGCAAACAATATCTGCTGCTATGACTGTATGCAGTGTAACATATGGCAAGGTACCACACTGAGAGCAAAGAACTGCAAGAATTAGGATTCCACCATTCCCTTAGCTCTCCAACTCTTGCAGCAGGGTATTTCCACCTTATATACCTCTAAGATCCTCAAAAGTTCTGTTCTCTCAGCTCTTCCAAAATGCTCTGGTTCTCTCACAGGAGCATTGATATGATGGCCATTCTATCCTATCTTCCATGAAACACTCAGGAGTGGGTAGATGGGGAACACTGACATAACAAAGCAATCGTAATAGCACCAAGTGCTAGGTGCATAAGAAACAAGAACCATCTTCAAACACAAATAATGAAAAGACTTGCCATTTTGTAGCCCTAAAAGGAGACCTGATCAAAAAACAAGAGTGCCATTAGGATGTTTGGCACCTTCTTCTGTACTCCATTCTGGTTTGTTCCTTTATTTCAACATAAATAGAGAGAAATGCTAGGGCACGAATAAAAATGTATTTGCATTCAAACTATTTGCAGCACTTAACAGCAACATACAAAGGAATCAAACAAGACATATTTGCTTCTGCTCTGATTAATGACGTAACTTAAAGTAAAGTAATGTAAGCGACAGGCTAATTACTGCCCTTTAAGCAAGATGTTCATTTGGACATTCCATGATTTTTCCACATGGGTGGATACAGTACAAGAAATAATTAAGTTTCCCCACAACAAACCACTAAGATGCCAAAGTAAACCCAGTGCTGCATGGAAGGAAGAGCAAGATCACAGCCAAAACACACCTAAAGCAGACTACCAGGACACTGAATTCTCAGAAGTGACAGAAATTTCCTCCCTTTCTAAGACAGCATATTATACTCAAAAGAAAATACTAGAAGATAGATTAATGTGACAGATGGTTAAAAAAAACTATACTCAAATCAAAGAATAAACCTACATACTTTGGCAAAACCAGGAAAATCGCAGGTACAAAACAATGTTAACTTTCTTCAATTAGATTTCCATCAATTTTACTCTGTAAATCACTTTAATTATTGTTATCAAACTACATATTCTTTAAAATTTGAACTCCCCAACTAGGGAATATATACCATATACCCAAGATGTTTGTGGAAAATCATCCGACAAGCTGTTTTGCTGTGGTTGTTACCTGAGGAGTCAATAAGTACTTATGAATGCAACGCTTTTCATATATTGTTTGCATGTGTGGTTAGTTTAACCCACATTGGCAGGCAAGTAAACAACAGCCAATAGTAATTTTGTATTAAATTATGTTGTGATGCAGGGCATGTGCACAGCATGCTTTTCTCTCTATAAAGATGCATTACTAACTAACTAGTTTACTGCTAATGTTATTGCAGAAGGGTAAAACGTGCACTGAATACGTGCATCTACTTCAATACACTGATGATGTTCTTAAAGACAGCATATTCTCCCAAATGGCAAATTAATTAACATTTACATTTCAGTACTTACCACACTCTAATCCACCATATTTGTAAGGATACTGCACACAAAGGCACAGTTGTAAACTAATCTGAGTCTTCCCAGCAGAACTTTCCCCAGCAAGTTCTGTGATTCCCACTAAAGGAATGCCACCTTTTAACAAGTTATCTAGTACTGAACATCCCAGGCTTAGCTTCTGGTGTTGGGAGGTGAGATGGTCTTTATCTTGGTAGAGCTGAAGTGCTGCAGGGTTTTGGATTTTTTTAAGTGATTAAAAAGAAAAAAAAAAAAAGAAAAAAAAAGGAGTTTAATTTAGTATCTTTCTAACACACAATGATACAAAATAGAGGCTATATACCAGGTTTATATCTACAAGAGATGCTTTCTTTGTTGATGGGAAATTTTTCTAATTCAGCCTGGTCTTCCCCACCTCCCTTTCCCCACAGGGCCTATTAACTGTTCAAACTGTTGATAGTTTACACTGAGCCTTTCCTCCTTTCAAACTTTTTTTTCCTCCTCTAAGGAGTCTCCATGGAAAGCTACACTCTGGGAAAATATTGTCAGCAAGGTTCAAGCACAGCAATTATGGAAATGCAAAGCTATAGCAGACTATAAAACAGCATACCAGGCATCTGGCCAAAGCCTGAAGATATATGCAAATCACAAAGAAATAAATTCTAAGTACAGAGTTGCCATGAGGCGTTCGTACAGGAAGAGGTATTAGGTCCTGCTTGGTTTGGACTGAGGTGTTTATAGCAAATCAGTTTACATAGTTTATAATATATCATATAAGTTTTTCAACTAGTCCAAAAGACAGAGGGAATTTTCTTTTCTGTCTAATCAAGTTTTCCAGACTGGAGAATCATTTTGTCCTGTTTCAGGCAGGCTCGATCCTGAAGAGTGACACCCGTCCACTTCCATCTACCTTCAAGGTCTCAGAGGAGCCATCCTTAGGATAGTTAAATAATTCACTATAGCATAACAAAAACACTTGCTTTTTCATTTTCAGAATCACATTACTGTGTCAATGAGGAGCCGAAACCTTATTTTCTCCCAGTGACAGTATTTTAAGATTTAAAGAGAACAGTTTTTTTGTGTTGACTATATTACCTGTAAGCATACTATTTCTCCTCAGCGTGTGAGAGACTGTTTTCAGTAAGCACTGTATATCTGCACTGGATAGTTTCATCAATCTTTGCAAGTCTGCTCCAGAAAGATTTAAAAGCTCTTTTATTGATTTTATGTCAGCTGAAATTAGAAGAAATTTTATAAATACTTTTGGCTGGATTACAGTCTTCTGCACAAAAGAAAAAGTTTTCCCACTTCCTACTAATCATTTACTTGAAGTTTATCTACACTGCATTCTTGTAAGCAGGGCAGGCAACTTTCAATGTATCAACACATGCTATAAAATTGTTTGAAAAATTATTATTGGCGCATAGGGAAAAGCCATCACTTCTGATTACTCAAAAAACTTGCTTATGAAATATTTAATTACAGTTCTAAAATGTTACTATACATCTATATGCTTACACCCACAAACACACAATTATGTAGAGGAAGACGCTATGGTGACAAATCTATTAGCGAGACATTGGCAAATTAAGTTACCTTTCTTAAGGGCAGCAATTACTTTAGGGTTCAAGTCAAACTGGTCCCAGTCCATTTCCTGATACAGCACTGGATTGATATATCTGTTATTAAAGTGGCTTTTATCAGATATACATGCAACAAAAAAAAAAAGCATCATTCAACATGAAACGTTTGAAGGAATATTCTTTTTTATTTTTCAACAATATATTAATCCATTATCTTAGAAAAATAACAATGATTCAGCACATCGGCAGAAGCCTTCTCAGATGGCTGTTTACATATATGCTATTAAAGGGTTCAACTAATAATACTGCAGTTAAGAATTACTAGTAATTTTAATTGCTTGTAATTCTGCATAGTGCTTTTGCTCTGGATTGACGCTCGCAAATACACTGGATAGTTATTTCTATCCTGCCACTCTTTACGTGAGCTTTTCACTTTCAAACAGAAAAAAGATCTCATGCACATGCAATTTGGAATGATCCAGGACCATTCATACATTGAACAGCCAAATATATTTTGATTAGCTAAAAGCAAATCTAGTACTAAAACATTAAAATCAGTTTGTTTCGTATAACAACATTAAACACTCTTTTTAATACTTTGATCTAAAACACAATAGTTTAGCACTATAGCTACCTAGAAGAGTACCGCGGGGTTTGTTACTATTATTCGGATCATCTTTATGAAGATTGCAGCAGACGCATAAGAATTATATAAGAATATAATGACTTAAGGAACAATCCCTTTTTTAACATGGGGGAGGAGAGGTTGCCGTGGGTCCTGACAGCAGACCAAATGCAGGGGAAGAAACAGTTACTTTAAAGCAACACCTATTTAAAGCAACATTCTGACGAGAGCTAGAAGTGGAAACTTACTGAAACTAACCATGACTATGACAACCTTCGACTGGAAGGACTCCAGACCATTTTGAACGCTCCACTCACGCGAAGCCTCTCCATTGCAGCCACTGTTTGAGGCACTGGGAAGAGAGGGAAATTGCCAGGAGTCAATTACTGGAAAGCCAGGCGCGTCCCACGGACAAGGCATCCACAGAGGCTGCCCGGGTCTGCCACAGC